TATAATTACTGTTTTTTCAAGCAGTAACAGGACATAACTCAGTATACTTACACAACACCCCAACATTTTTGGGTGGACTAATACACACACACACACACACACTCTCTCTCTCTCTCTCTCTCCCTCCCTCCCTCTCTCGCCTTCCCTCCCTCCCTCTCCTTCTTTCCCTCCCTCCCTCTCTCGCCCTCCCTCCCTCTCCTTCTTTCCCTCCCTCCCTCTCCACGGACGTATAATTTGACCGACATATTTTTTCCTCGATAGTTATACTTTGGTAGTGAGTGACGTCTGCTTCCCCCCCCCCCCCCCAAGAACCGTCTTATCTGCGCTCAGTAAAATTAAACCTCAGAGGTTCCGAAGGCATGGCGATAAGGCGGGTCATCATATCTATGTCCTGGTATTTGTAGTCCACTGTAAAGCGCTGCATGACCTGGTGAGAAAACAGCAACATAACTCGGTGAGAAAACGTATTAGGAGCACAGGCATGTTTAGGAATCACTCTAATGCGAAAGGGGATGTGATCTTGTATTCACAGAACTTGACTGCATACTCCTTAATCCTTTCACAACAGGGTACTTGCATGCACGTACTCCGAAACACACACACACACACACACACACATACACACACGCACGCACGCACGCACGTACACACACATACACACACACACACATAAAATCACAGACGTACACACAATCATAGACATACACACAGTCACACACACACAAAATCACACTCACAGAACGCCCACTCACCCTCGCCAAGAAGGTGTACATCTCCTGCTCCGCGATCCGCCTTCCGATGCACATCCTCGCTCCGGCAGCGAAGGGCAGGGAGGCATAAGGGTGAATGGGACCCAGCGGCCGACTACGTAACCATCTATCTGGGATGAATTCTTTGGCTTGAGGGAAATGCTTCTCATCCCAGGCGGCGACCACATTCGGGTATATCACTTTATCCTATACTCCAAAAGAGAGAACGACTATGTGAATCTAGCGTCGGCGGAAAGGATATAATCAAAGGAATTATACATACATATAGACAGACAGACCTCTTTTTACGGTATATACAAATATAACAATATTAGATTATCTTGAGTCAACAGAAAGGATATCATCGAAGGAATTATATATACATAGAGACAGACAGACCTCTAGATGGAATCCCAGAGGATTTCGAAACTGTTTGGCTCGTTATCACTAAATTTGTGCTTTTTTTTCAGTATATACAAACGTAACAATATTAGATTATCTTGAGTCAACAGAAAGGATATAATCGAAGGAAATAATGTTATCTATTAGCAATATTAGATTGTTTTGTCACCACGATCCTCTTGACTCTCGCTCTTACCCCTTTTGGAACGATATATCCTCCCAGAACAGCGTCTTGGTCCAGAATCCGTACCATAGCAATAGCAGGTGGGAAAACCCTGAAATTGGAAGTCCTCCTCGTCAATATATCAATTAAAGGCCTTGATATATCAAAATATATAACAAAAAGAAAAAGGAGAGAGAGAGAGAGAGAGAGAGAGAGAGAGAGAGAGAGAGAGAGAGAGAGAGAGAGAGAGAGAGAGAGAGATATAAAAATTAAAGCAAAAGAAGGATATGTTGTATCTGAATGGACTAATAGATATTTTAAAGACTATAAAATGCGTCTGTTCTTTTCTCCTTGAATCTTGGAACGCAGTGTCGTACATGATAACCCGTTTCCATGAAATTAGGGTAACGTACCTTAAGGTTTCTCTCAGTACGGCCTTTAAGTATGAGAATTGTGCCATGTGTTTGGGCAGGAGCGGTCCTTCATAATCCCCAAGGACTGTGTCTATCTCCGCCTGCAACTTCGCCTGTACTTGGGGGTTCCGTGCCAATAGGTACAGCGCGAACCCTAGTGTGTGGGCGGTCTAGAAAAAATCCATTTGTTAGTTTGATTACGATAATGATAGTAAGAATAATGCTATCTGAGAGGCTGGTTATTCGGTGCTGGGTCTGTATGGTGAAAGTGAGGTAATCATTATCATAGCATTGTTAATTACTCCAAAGGCTTTTGATATGTATATATATATATATATATATATATATATATATATATATATATATATATATATATATATATATATGTATGTATGTTTATATATATATATATATATATATATATATATATATATACACACACATATATATATATATATGTGTGTGTGTGTGTGTGTGTGTGTGTGTGTGGATATATATTTTATTTCTTTTTTATAGAATTACTGATTGTTCATAGTATTTTTTTCATTTGGTTTAACTTCGCCAAAATTCACATATTCCCCTACCGTGTCGATGCCTGCTGTTAACATATCTAGGATGAGGATGATCACATCTTCCCTTGTAAGTCCTTCTGTCAATAGGAGGTTTTCCATCAGGGATAACTCGCGTTCACTGTTAGGATCTTCAGCCAAAATAGCGGCCTCTGTCTCCCGGATGTTCTGGGTCGCAATCCTGAAGCGAATATTTACAATGAGCTAAAATGTCCACAAAAAGAGAAGCAAATATATATTCAGGATTTAAGTTCATGCTAGGTCAGCGTAATTTTCATCTACATAGGACATCATTATCTTATTGAAAAGAACCATCGAGAATTTTCTCATCCTAAGAGATAAAAAACTAACTCCAAAAATTGTTCATGTCTCATTTTCAGTTTCCTGTACGTAGCAGTGGGCATGATCCTCCAAAGCATCGAACCCATTTCCATGTCATTCAGTGACTGGAAAATGTCATTGACGACCTCAATCATCCGGAGAGCGTTAGAGTCTTGAGAAACGTCAGGATTGAGGCAGCCCATGCGGCGATTCAGAGCCACGAGACTGACGGCTGAGAGGAAGAAATGTGACGGTAAAATAAAAGTAAACGAAGATATAAATGAAATAAAATCATATGCATTTTGTGAATCACCACCATTACATTTCGCTCCGGTCAATGTATGTGGGTATTTTGACTTACACTCCAGCGCCCATTTGTATAATTCGAACTGGAAGTCACTCGGCATTTCACCGTGTTCCGCCTGAAGCTGTGCGATCCTAGAAAGAAGACATAAAACACGATTAAAACATGAGCGACTCTCACGTCACTAATGCCATGACCTTTCTGTCCGAGTGATTCTTTATCCGATCTGCTCGGAATGGCACTGAATCTTCATCCACACAGCTAGCGTTGATGTACCTTTTCTCTCTCTCTCTTCTCTCTAGCTGTATATATACATGTAGGTACATATATACGTATATATCTACACACACACGCATATATATATACATATATACATATATACATATATATATATATATATATATATATATATATATATATATATATATATATATATTTATATATATGTATATATGTATATATGTATATATGTATATATGTATGTATATATATATATATATATATATATATATATATATATATATATATATATATATATATATATATATTTATATGTATGTGTGTGTATGTATGTATGTATATGTGTATATATACACATATTTATACACACACACACACACACACACACACACACACACACACACACACACACACACACACACACACACATATACTCTCTCAGACTTACCTATCTGTGAACTCGCTTGATACCCGGTCCATCTGCTGGAGGTAGGCACCCACTAACTTCGGTTTCATCATCGGGGTCTGGACTTTGCTCCTCACTCGCCACCACTCCTCTCCGTTCCTGGAAGTATTCGATTGAGAGAGGTATCTTAACTAGCTGTATGTGTGTGTGTGTGTGTGTGTGTGTGTGTGTGTGTGTGTGTGTGTGTGTGTGTGTGTGTGTGTGTGTGTGTGTGTGTGTGGAATATAAAATCCTGCAAAGTATATCACCAGACATGTGCCTTTATTTATTTTCATTACTATCATCATAATAATAATCCTTATTAAGTACTTATCCATCCATTCATTAACAAATTCATTACCAATTTCTCTTGCCTAGACAGTGTGACAGACATCAAGTCTAAAATGGTTTGCAGGAACTAAAACAGGAACAAAAACAAAACAATAAGAACTTTGCATGGTCTAAAACACTAACAAACAAACAAACACGTGAACTGCCACGCAAACCATACAACCATAGTCAGAATCTGTCCACCCTATCCCTACTCTTTCCTTCCCACGCTGTATCTTACTCAAGCAAGATCCCCGTTCTGTTCTTGAAGAAACCGTCGGCTGCTTTCTCCCTCACCGACTTAATGGAAGCCATAGGCATGCGTTGGGGGTTGTGCATGGTGAGACGTAACAGCTTCTCGCAGTCGTCGGGATCAGTGACTATAGTGAAGCTACCAACGATGGGGACAGTCATGCGGTAGATGGAGCCATAGGTGTTGTGCATTGTTACGTAGAGTTTGTGAGCAGCTTTCTTGTCGAATTCTGGCGGAGAAGGGATGAGCGGTGAGCTTAATCATAAGCGGGAATAAGGTTAATCCATCTCTTACTCAATGCCTCTGTGGAAGTTGAAGCTGTGAATAATTCGCTGTTGAATCTTCACACTTAAATGTCTTTACTGCCTTCGATTAAGCCATGGGGCACCCGGGACACTTCACCTCTTGGACAAAGCGTAATGGCTTTGTTCCTAATACAAAGTTCTCTACCAATTTCTACTTGTTCATGGGAAAACTATGGCAATGGTCCATACTCCATCTGATTTAAAGCAGTCCTTGTGTGTTTTTGCATATCCAATAAGCTTCCATCTTAAACAGTGTGAAATCGTTGACATACACAGTACACGAGCAGCAGCTTAGAATGATGTTCATCCCGATGCTGCCTCCCATTTACGTACTAAGATTTTAAGTACAATATGAAACGAAAAAAACTATAATACATTTTCGTTGCATGTTGCAAATTATTTTTGAAGCATATGACAATACACAAACACCCATTAATCTTTTTTTATAGTTTTGTTGTTCTTTTAACAGTTTTAAATTGTAAGCACACACAATGACTGCACCTGCTGACAACAATCAAATCGACTTGCAAAACGAAATAAAAAATCACATATATTTACTAAGTCCCCTTGGCATGTTAAGCAATGAGCCAATCACAGGTCGAGCCTTAGGGCCTGGAATTTCTGAAGTCGGTTTGGCACTTCTCATTTCTTTTTCGAGGGGCACTGCCAGCTGCCCTTGGATGCTGGAGGAGCCAAGGCAGCGGGGGATATCCGTTTGTCTGGACAGGGATGCCCACACCGCTCTCCGCTTCAGAATGTACGCCATGGTGTGGGATTTCTGGAAACATATTGTTGTATTGAGTGTAAATTATATTTTTTATTGGTGTTATTGCTACTGTTATGATTCCTGTTAGTATTATCATCATTATCATTTTCATATTCATTAGCATAGTAATAACTTCATCATAATAAATTTTATAATCATTAATATTATTAACACTATCAATATCATTATCATCACTAATATTATTATCATTATCATCACCATCATCATTAAGGCATTTAGATCACAGTTTCAGGAAAAATGTCAGGGGGGGGGATTCAGGGAAGGCAGCTGTTATGACAAAGGGCCTCACGTGTGCCTCGAGGGGGGGGGGGGGATATTGGGGAAGGGATATTGGGGAAGGAAGGGGGGGGGGGGGTGATGCAGCTGAAACAAGGGGGAATGAGAGGTAAGGGCTAGACATCTAAACACGAGAATACTGTGCCCATGGCTCCCCTCGGCCGTTCATGACTGGCACAAAGTCAGCCTTTTATCCTTTCCAAACGGCTCTCGGCTTTGGGTTCCGGTCTCCGTCTTCTAAGCTTCCCCCCCCCCCCGGCAAAAACGGGCATGGGATGGGGGGGGGGGAAGAAGAGAGAGAGAGAGAGAGAGAGAGAGAGAGAGAGAGAGAGAGAGAGAGAGAGAGAGAGAGAGAGAGAGAGAGAGAGAGAGCGAGAGAGAGAGAGAGAGAGAGAGAGAGAGAGAGAGAGAGAGAGAGAGAGAGAGAGAGAGAGAGGCTAGAGAGAGAGCTAAAGAGATGAAAAGAAAGAAAGAAAGAGAAAGCTAGAAAGATCAATAATGTATCCTTGCCAAAGCCTGCGTAGGTACACCCTGCCATCAGCTGATAACAGAAAGTCCATTTTTTCTCTAAATAGCGGTGGCTCGCTCGTAGGGAAACGTATTTTCGACAGCGAGAGGATAAAAAAAGGCCACCTACAGTCCACTCTCACTTTAACGAATTTACAAAATGCTTAACGCAACTTATGAATTTCGATTTTAGTTTATTCTCTTTATTTTTTCTTTTTCTTTTTTCAGTAATTCACGGCGATAGAAATCAAACTAATTTTATCTACTGCTTTGTAAAGAGTTATTATCACCGCAGATTTCCACCCATTTAGAAGTAAGAGAAATGACGATCGGCGAAATTGCGTTGCTTTGTCTTATTTTTTCAAGTATACTTCAAAACACGCACGATTTCATAAACAGCAAAGTCACATCTACTCCCCATTTGGTAAAGTAACATCGAGTATTAACACTTACGGGAGAGAACGGACGCAGTAAACTCTCACGGAGAAGTGAATGAAGGTTGACGAGGGAAGGGAGGGTGGAAGCTGTTCGTTTATAGTAGTTGGCAACTCAAGGACGAAATTATGTCGGTTGCCACGTCATATTTTGTCTCCGTTTATTTACTTATTTATTTATTTTCTGTTAATGTGTAGAGGGGAGGAAAATGTTCGTGTTCTCTCTATTCTCTTCTATTTTCCTCACAATTCTGGATTGGCTTGAAAACGTTTTTATAATAACTGCAAAATATGATTTACCGAATTTTGGTACCTATGGGCCTAATCAGATGGACGATAATCCCAAGACTTTAAATTGGTGTTATTGTCATACCCCACAATTTTGATAATTTGAAAATATCTGATTGTATTGTATCATTTTGTGTCTAGTTCTCTCTAATAGGACAAAAAAAAAAAAAAAAAAAAAAAAAATGTAATTACTATATTCTATATATTATTCACACCAAAGATATAATTTTAGTGTTTCAAGGAGGTATAAGTTTATTGCAAATTTTCGCGTGAGTTCGAAAATGATATTCGAAGGACGCGCAGATTGTAGACATACACGAAAATTTGCAGTTTAAATCAGATTATTAATGGTAACTGTATCAAAACATGAATTAAATTCGCTCATTATTATTGTAAAATGTGTGAGGGTGTGTATGTGTGTGTGTGTGTGTGTTTGTGTGTGTGTGTGTGTGTGTGTGTACATAGTATATATATATATATATATATATATATATATATATATATATATATATATATATATATATGTATATATAGATGCCCACGTATACGTCATTATTATGTTTATCATTATTATTATATATATGTATTTTTTTTTTGTAACAAATATAATTACTGTCAAACTGATACATGCACACTGAATACTTTTAAATAATTTTCTGTAGGATACTTTTAAGTAGAATTTTCTGTAGAATACTTTTTAAATATTTTTCTTTAGAAAACTATTAGTTAATTTTATGTAAAATACATTTAGATAATTTTCTGTATGATGCATGTAAATGATATTCTGTAGAATAATTTAAATCAATATTCCGTAGAACATATTTAAATGATTTTCCTTAGAATGCTTTCAAATCCTTTTCTTATCTTGCCAGCATGTTGCAACATATATTGTCTGTCAAAGCAACAAAAACTCATGACATGACGGGGACAAATTACACATTGCTGCAAGAATATTTAAATAAATCAATTGCATTTTCGTAATAGAATGCAAAGGGCAACTGGAAATGGAAAATAGGGTTTTGAAATATTACTTAAGTTAAAAGGGGGGAAAACCTTATCAATATAAAGGCCTATCTTAATAAGATCTCTTTGATATCACTCGCCTTACGTCCCGCTGTGATATGAACTGATAAGGACGCTGATTCTTTATCGTGATTACGTTGACATGAAAAAAACAAACTTTTTTTTTCTTTTCGATTGAATCATCAAGGAAAATTGTCCCAAAACATACGATTTCGTCCAATTCGTCTAATTTCCTTACATTTAAGTACTCTTATCTTCGTCAGGATTTTAAAATAATTTTTTAACACTCACTTAACGCGAAAAATATAGAGGAAAGTGAATAACGATATACAGTTAATTACTACACACACACACACACACACACACACACACACACACACACACACACACACACACACACACACATATATATATATATATATATATATATATATATATATATATATGTATATATATATATATATATATATATATATATATATATATATATATATATATATATATATATATGTATATATATACATACATATATATATATATATATATATATATATATATATATATATATATATATATATATATATATATATTGAGAGAGAGAGAGAGAGTGAGAGTGAGAGTGAGAAAGTGAGAGAGAGTGTGCGTGTGTGTGTATAAATATATATATATATATATATATATATATATATATATATATATATATATATATATATATGTATATATATATATATATATATATATATATGTATATATATATATATATATATATATATATATATATATATATATATATATATATATATATATATATATATATATATATATATATATATATATATATATATATATATATATATATATATATATATATATATGTGTATACACACACACACACACACACACACACACACACACACACACACACACACACATATGCGTATGTATATTCTATACTGACAAGTGTGATCACGTGTGATTACGGTTTCTGTATACTTGTTATTATTTCTAACGATGATGAATAATGAATTAGAATACCCTAAAATATAATCGTTTTCTTCTCGACAAGCAAAAGAAAAAATGGATAAGTTTTAGCTATAACTCAACTAATAGAAAAACGAGACCCTTTAGAATACAAAGACAATGAATCTATAATAGAAGAATGAGTCAATCTTGTCTTGTACCAACGTATCATTAAAAGAAAAGAAAAGTGTGCGATTTGATGAAGGGGGAGAAGATGATAGACGATACGGAGGAGGAGGTAGGAAAGGTGGAGGAGTAGGAGATAGAAGAGATGCAGGAGGAGGAAAAGGAGGAAATAGAGGTAGGGAGGAGGAGGAGGAGGAGAAGGAGAAGGAGGAAGAGGAGGAGGAGGAGGAGGACGAGGAGGAGGAAGAGGAGGAGGCGATGGAGGAGGAAGAGGAGGAGGTGTAGGAGGAAGAGGAAGAGGTGGAGGAGGAAGAGGAGGAGGAGGAGGAGGAGGAGGTGGAGGAGGAGGAGGAGGAGCAGGAGGAGGAGGAAAAGGAGAAGGAGGAGGAGGAGGAGAGGAGGACAAGGAAGTGGAAAAGAAAAAGAATGAGAAGAAGGAAAAATAGAAGTAGAAGAAGAAAGACAAAAGACAATGAGATAAAGAAAAAGAAAGAAAGAGGAGAAAGAGGGGATGGAAAAGAAAAGGGAGAGGAAAGAGACGGACAAGGAGATGGAAGAAAGGGGAAGAGGTGTAAAAGAGAAGATAAATCAACTATTGCATTCTATGAATTTTATTAGCCGAGCTCAATATCAAATGCACTGAGATCAATAATGAGAGATTTAAAGATGCTGTTTATACACATACCAGGAACTTTCCATGGTGGGAGATAAAGAAGAACTAAGAAAAAAGGATAAATAGATAGTCAAAGTGAAAGTCAAAGTCAAGAGAGAGAGAAAGATATATATATATATATATATATATATATATATATATATATATATATATATATATAGGGGAGTCGCGGTGGCTATCTCTGACCGCTTCCGTTCCTCAGTCAAGAAGGTTACCCCTGTTGATGAGCGCATTCTGCTTGTGAGAATGAAGCACACTTTGGGCTTCATATCTCTAGTTGCAGTTTATGCTTCTACTGAGGGAAGTGGGCTTGAAGAGAAAGAGATGTTCTACGCCAAACTTGACTCTTTAGTGGATCAATGTCCCCCGGGGGACACCCTCATGGTCTTGGGGGACTCCAATGCGGTCACTGGCACTGACAGGGAAGGATACAAGCTATGCATCGGTCCCTATGGCTCTGGTACTAGGAACATCAATAGCTCATGCCTCTTAGACTTCGCAAGATCTAGGAGGCTGAGGATTGCGGGCTCGTGGTACCAGAGACGAGATCTACACCGCTGGACTTGGTACTCCAATACTGGCGTTGTAGCTAAAGAGATCGACCATATTCTCGTGGATACTCGCTGGAGGATCCTTCAGAACTGTAGAGTTTTTAGGAGTGCTGAGTTCTTTGCTACTGACCACAGACTTGTTGTCGCAACACTAAGGCTCTGCCTCAGATCTAGACGCATCCCGAGATCTCACCAGCAGGTGTTCCATCTCGAGAGGCTCAAGAGTGAGGAGGTGGCTCAGGAGTATGCAGAGGTAGTCTTAAATCGGTTTGAAGTGCTTGGTACTCTACAGGACCCTGCTGAACTGTGGGATACCTTTAAGCGAGGAACTCTGTCAGCTGCCGAGGAGTGCCTTGGGGTCCGACCTCGGCGAAGGAGGCGTGTTGTCTCAGACGAGACACTGAACACTATAGAGATGAGTTGTGCTGCCAGACTGGATGGGAACCATGTCTTGCACAGGGAGCTGTCTCGCTCTGCTAGGGCCTCTTTGAGAGTGGACCAAGAAGATGGAGAAGCCATGATCTGTGGTTTGCATGCAGTCCTGTCTGCCGTTTGGGAGACTGGTACCATTCCCCCTGACTGGAAAAGGGGCTTGGTTATCCCTATCTGGAAAGGGAAAGGGGACTAAAGGGACTGTGGCAGTTACAGAGGAATTACATTGCTCAGCATACCAGGCAAGGTCCTCGCTCATCTGCTTTTGGCACGACTGCGCGACCACCTATTACGAGTACATAGAGCTGAGCAGTATGGTTTTACACCCAAGAAGTCAACTATAGACCGTGTCTTAGCACTTTGTGTCCTTGTGGAACGCCGACTTGAGTTTCAACAAGGTATGCCTGCAGCTTATGTTGATCTCAAGAAGGCTTTCGACTCAGTGCACCGGGAGAGTCTCTGTGGGATCCCCCCTGGAATTATTGGTTTGCTGTCTGGCCTGTATACAGATACTGAAAGTGCTGTCAAGTGTAGAGAGGGCATCTCTGCCTTTTTCCCGGTGTCTGCCGGGGAGAGACAGGGATGTGTCCTGGCCCCAACCCTTTACAATACTTGTATGGACTGGATACTTGGCCGTGCTGTGAACCATAGTTCCTGTGGGGCATCAATTGGTAATTTCAAAGTCACATACCTTGACTTTGCCGATGATGCAGTGATTCTAGCAGAGACATTGGAGGTCCTGGAAGTTGCTCTCGAGGCGCTGCATGAGGAGGCGAAGCCGTTGGGACTCGCGGTCAACTGGACCAAGACCAAGGTTCAGGAATTTGGGGACTTTTGGGATGTCGATATTCAGTCTGTGCATGCCTGTGGCGAGAACATTGAGGTCTTGGATAGCTTCAGTTATATTGGTAGTGTAGTGCAGAGGTTCCGACCGGGAAGTCACTCGACAACTCGGATTGGCCTACGGCCTC